GTCTGTGGAGTAACTGTGAACAGGTACCGTAGGTTCCCCTTTTCCTGTACTTCCACCACATTCAAGAAACAATTAAGAAACTACCGATTTCAGAGATGTGTACAGTGCATCAAATGCAATGACTGCTATGGCTTCCGCGACCGAGACAGGAAAGCCCGAACAAATCACCGTCGGTGGTCTGGGACTTGCAAGTGCGGCGGCTTTCACTGGAAAACCTGAAATTAAAGCATGATCTACATGTTCATGATCTTAATGTAATAATAATTATAGAATAAACATTATGGGTTAAATTTTCAGGTGTTGTAAATTCTTGCCACAGTGATATTGACCTGTTCAACAGCTTTCGCACAAAACTTTTAGCCAGCAGCTGTTTACGCTCTTGTCCTCCAATGCGTATACATCTCACAACAAGTGATCACCCCGCATAGGTGAAATGACCTGAAAAACCCAGTGGTCTGAGTCGAAGAACTTCTAGTCACAGCACTAACTCCTTGTAAAGTGCACTATCATCGTACCTGAGTAATTTGGAGAAGGCAGTCATGAAACTCTTCCGCAATCATACCGAAGGCTTTACATGTCAAAGTTATAGGTTCTATCACGCTATCCCTTTGCTATTTTGGTTGGGAATGGAGCATGACAGTTTGATTCGCTGAAAAATTAAAACAGTTCCTTGTTAGATGAAAGTGGTCAAACTAGTGAAGTAAAGAAGCGTTTATGAATAGACAGAACATTCGAGGTAAGTTTTGGGCAAGGCATAAAGTATTAAGATGGTCCACAGAATGTTAAGGCACTCTGGGCTTGGCTTTCCTTTGCTTCATTCATTCTGCTGTAATAAAAAAATACAGAGTTGAAGAGGCACGTGCGTGACTCACGCACGACCTGAGCAAAGATGCTCCAAGGCCATGCACTGGAGGATGCCGCAACGCATCATAGCGTTGACTGGCAATGAGTGTTAATTGTGAATGGCACTGTCTGTCGCCTTAGAATCGCCTGCGAAAGCGTACGCAGTCTAGCAGGATGCAATACGACGTAAGCAAACCAGCCCTTTTGGCGCTTCGGCTGGGACCGTATGCTGAATGTTGGGGAGGGGATGGAGTCCCCGACGGTGGACGGACCACTTCAAACTCGGTCCTTAGAACCGCCACAATTTGGTGCTTACCTCAGAACTAAGCCTTAAAGAGAGGACGGGTCGTCCCCTCCAAGGCTTAGTCCTGGGGTGAGCAAACCAGCCCTTCTGGCGGAGCTGCTGGACCAGCTGCACCACTTGCGTCAGTACTCTCCTATCGTACCAACCGAGTTGAAGTAAACCGTCGACCGTTGGGGACCCCATCCCCTCCCCAACATTCAGCATACGGTCCCAGCCGAAACGCCAAAAGGGCTGGTTTGCTTACCTCATGCAATCGTGCCGAGCGCCCGTAGTCGCTTGTCGCCTCGTCGACCGTCATGAAGGTCTGTTCGTTCTTTCATGCCTTTACATCGCGCATGTCGTAAGCGGACGTCGCATCGACCTTAATGCTCTCCGTATAGCTTATATTCAAACAACAGATTGGTCCCCCAGCAACCGCCGGACCCTTAAAAGCTCGGCTATCTTCTTTCACACCTTATCCTCCCTTCCTCCCCCTACTGCTATCCAGTGGCACTTTGTGAAATGACTGAACGTGTACTAAGTAGGTGTGCCGGCTGCCACGGCATCACCATGTAGAATGAGGCTGAGTGTGTTCTATAGGTGTTTCTTATCCTGCTGATTGGCGTGTTATCATGATCATGAAGTCAACATCACGAGGTGTAGCCCTACGAATTCCTCGGATTTGTTAGTGGTTGATTCGAACGGACAGAACGACACACACAAAACAAACCGGCACACCAAAGTCCTGGTTTACATAGTGAAGTGATTATTACCTATTTATAATAATACTTTCGTTCGCCAGCCAAGGTTTCCTCGATTTCTATATTATCACAATGTAGTATAGTCGCAATACTCTTAAGATATGATAGGCGCCTTCGTAGGTATTTTTTCTTTAGTAGTTTGCTCAACATAAAAAATTCAATTCCGTGGTTCTACATTCGTTTTCATGACTCATTTTTTTGTGTTTATCTTTTGTAATTTATCATTGTCATTATGAATGACCCTGGTTTCCTACGTAAGTATGCATCTTTTTCTCTTACCAGTACTACACTCACACACGCTAACGCCACGCACAACATTTTTGCTACATAAAGTTTTTTCGGTCTATCGATCTGTTCACTCGTTATTTTTCTTGGACCTCCAGAAGTCTCTCTCACCGCCGTCTCTATGTTCTTTCCACGATGCCTAACTTCGCTTAGCTTTGCTCACCGTGTACAACCCCTATTTGAGAGCTTTTTGATTGATATTTGCTTTTTTTCTCCACGGTAGAACTTTCTACCACCCACTGCTGCTCAACCAAGGTCAATTCCTTGCTTTTGCTATCACTAAATGTACATTCTGAAGAGAGATGCCATTTTTGAAGGAATGATCTTTAATCATTTTGAATATCATTTATCCACCCATGAGACTCTTCACGTCGAACTGCTTCTGCGGCCCTGTTGTCTAACAGAAACTCGTTGTAGGCCATCATTCGCACTGGTAGGAGTCCAAGGGATCTTTATAGAAAAATAAAAAATTTTGTCTACTAAATGATGAGATGTGACTTTTATCACCTTTTAGTATACACCTGATGCTCGTTATTCTCCACCTTTTATGCTTATAACCATTTACGCAGACCACAAATTTTAAAAGCCACGGATTTCCATCCGTTTCATCCCCATATGAATAACACATTTCGTAAGGAGGCCAAAGCGATCATGTCTACCTTTCTACGCTCCTATTTGAAGTAGGAGCCTATTTGAAGGAAAAGGATGTGTAGTAGCTTATCCGCACTAATATAGGTTAATAGCTCTGCTGGCCACGGGCGCGCGTCGCACAAGGCTTGTCCTCAGGGTTGAAACGTCAGGATGAAATTATCCCCCACAGCACTTTGGCAAAAAAACTTTCAGAATTTCTCCCATGTGCGAGGAGAATTCGGCGTGTTCCCGAAGCTCTGCTTCCCGGCTACACTTCCATCCGCTCCACTCACCATCGTAAACAGCAAACAAAGAACACGGCTCAGGCCACGACGTCATCCTGTCAGACCCGTGGCCATTACTGGATTTGCATACATCCTTACCTTGACCAAATAACTCCAATTTAATCTTCTCTCAAATCAACAGAGACCGTATGTAAATGTCTATTTTACAAATACTCACTATCACAGCGTCATAGCAGTGATGGCTTCCGAATTCTATTCTTTACGGGCGGATCAACCAACTTCAAATTGCCAAAAAAAATTTATTGCTAAACTTCGATCACTGCCTTATCTCGGCTTTTCCGGCGAAAAGCTGTGTTGCCGAGTCCTAGGCCACCAACGACAATGCGATCAGATTTTCCATGTCTAGCCACATCAGCTACCGCCGCCGATGATGTGCTGTAGATGTCCCTGAATTGATAGCTATATAGTTTGAACATGTACTGAGCAAGTTTAGAGAGAACCTAGCGATCGAACGCTGGCACTGTGGCTAGGATGTCTAAATGTCGGTAAGACGGGATATGCGCTTGAAGAGAACGCTGGACAAGTGCAATTACCGAATGGATTTTTCGTTCATCACTCAAAAAATTAGTAGAGATCAATGGTCAATTATTTGGCTTTATGCAAGCAGTATGCGGGAGTTATAGTGGAGTATTCCACAACCGAGAACTCAGGGAGCTCCTCGTGCTAGCGAAACCGTCGAAAACACAAAAGGGCGCCCGTTTGGTTCAGTTGGTGGATTAAGTACTACATGTGAAAAATATCGTTGCTCATTTTGATACAATAGATTTCTCGACTACTTTGGTGAATTCCAAGGATTATGGAGGTCACTAGTTAGAGTCAAATCGCGGTTTCAGTCGAAAAATTTTGAGAACATGCCTAACTCTCACCACTAAAAGTTTCGGAATGTACCTACCAAGAAACGCGTTCCCACCTGTCCACGTATATTCCGCAACCGTAATCGGCTCTATCGAACTTCTTCACTGTCGGATACGTCCATCCTGCGAACGGAACAAAGTCGTTGAAATCCGGAGGACTCGGTTCGATAAAGCCAAGGTTGTCGCACTTGTAGTACCTACAACCGAGAGCAGTTGACAGAGTGAGGGCATTCTCGTTGAATTCCACGATCCATATGAAGTTATAGTGGATTATTGTTTCAACACATCGACAACACGAATTTTCGGCGTTTCCAAAGAAAGCAGGCTGATGCTGAAGCGCACCAACGAATATGTCAGAGGATTAGAACTTTGTTGAAAACTGTTGGAACTTTGTTTGTCCCCAACCTCTACCGATCTCCTCCTAACCGAGCGAAAATCTTCCCGTATAGGTAGTGAGTAAATTCGGAAAATCCTCGAGAAATTCCAGTTTTTCATTCTAGAACTCGTCAGTAAGGTTCGATCGCGATCGATTTTTGGCAATAATACCGTAGAAATAATGCCTAGTGCAGCTATAAACAACGAATATGCCTCAAATCAATATAGGTCTGGGTAGGTCTAAAATTAAGCGAAGATTAATTTCCCAAAATCGAAATCCGTATTCGAAAAAAAAGTTTTTCTAAATCGAGTGTAAAAAGTTTGGAACCTCACAATTTCAAGCGAATTCACTACATTAGCTCTCGAGTTTGCATGAGAAATCACTAGTTTATTGAGCAGCGGTATAATTCTATGATGGCACCTCATTTTTTGTTGACATTGAATTGGTTGAAACGGTCACTTTCAGACTCCGAACTCGAATTCGTTCCTTTGTGAAATAAATCGAACTGTTCTGTATTTCTTCATAAAAATGTGATTTGCACAACATGCCCGCTATTCCCCGAGTGCCCGATGCAATCAAAGGCAAGGCCCAGCCTCAGCCTCACTGAAGTAGCCCTCCTGAAGGATAGAAGTATGAGATCCTCCCTGCAAAGGTCGCGCCACCTTCGCACATCGGAAAACGTCACTAGGACACTAGGATCTGAGGCTTTCTATCAAACCCCACCAGAATTACAGGGTCCGCTCACCGCCTAGAATCTTAACTGCGCCACAGTGTTCACCTACTATGCTCTATCTACTCGACCATCTCCTACTCTTTCCGCAAGTCATAGTGTGTCTCACCTCAGACTTGCCTCTCAGACTTTACTGCAGCTTTTCTTACTTTACGCTGTGGATATATGATTGTCGTGATAGAAAAGCTACATTTTCCGGCTAGTTCTGACTATCGAAGGAAGCATTGTATTCTACAGACTATCCTTGTATTAGCCCAACCCACATTTCGCTGGATACTAGAACTGGGAAATCGCCGAATGGTCGGACACATCTTCATCCATGACAATACTTCCACTATTTCTGAATGTTGGAATCTGGTACCTAAAATTAGGTTTCCTGTTGATAGAACGCTTCACAAAGTTCACTTTTCAT